CAGTCCACCCCCATTTTGCTCTTCTCTTTTAAAAGAAAAATTCTTTCTTCCATCTTTTGACGTCTCTTCTATAGTTGTTCATATTCTTCCACATCAGTCTATGTCTTCTAGCTGCCTTTCTTTTGAGTATTCACATTATTTATGGCTTCCATTCTTTCTTCCATCATGTGCACCATCTTCTGTAGATGTTCATGTAATTCTCTGTTAATATATTCTTGTTTTTTTCTCATCTCTGGGATATTTGCTTCATTTATAGTTTCCTTTCTTACTTTCATCATTTTACCTTCTTTAGAAGATGATTATATGACTCTGTTGTTATATTTCTTTTGCCTCCCAATCTCTGGGGTATTCATTGGATATGCAGTATGGTCTGCTTTTTTAAGAGAAAATTTCTTTTGTTTGTTTACAATGTTTGAAGCGGTCTGCAGCTTGCTTGATATTATGTGCAGTTATTCTTGGTATGTTAGGCTGTTTTTATTTTGTCTGCATAGATTGTTGACAGTTCATTATCTTTATGATGTTATTAATTAGTTACAGCCTTAAAAGTTTCTGTCTATGGGAATGGGTAACTTGCTCTACTGGAAGTCCTTTCTGGGCCTGTAGACCAGGAAAGTTTGCCTTTCCTAAAGTCTTTCAGATCACTTTTGGTATTCCCTGTTGGGATCTCGCCTTCTCGTAGCCCCCTCTTCTGAAAGCTATTGTCTTAGTCTGTATCTTGGTTGCATGTTCAACTGATTTCCGATTTCAAGAGTTGGTAATAGTCATCTCTTTAGCTCTGGTTATTGATGCATAAATTTGAATGATAATCATATTGACAGGTTTCCTTGTATATATATATGGATATTATCCTGTCACTCACAACATTGTATTTCAAAATGGATTTAAAAATGGCCTTTTTAACAATGAATGTGACCCCCTTTTTCTCATCTTTTCATTTCCTGAACAGTAGATTATATGACTTGTCTGATTCACAATGTCTCATGCTAATGTATTTCATTTCACCAGTGCCTAGTATGTCTGTTTATGTGTTCCATTTCCCCCTTAACAATCTCCAATTTTCCTACATTCATGTTTCTTATGTCCCATGTTCCAGTCTTAGGATCTGTTTGTAACCATTCCTCCTCTTTTTTGATAACCAACACGAAGGCTCAGCCTCCCATGCTTTATCTGCTAGTCTTAGTGTGCTCTGTTGTATATAGGATTTTAGAAAGCCTGTTATTTAAGAGGTAGATGGGCAATCCTTATACCTACTCTGTCTTAATTTGACAGACAAGCATTTTACTCAAAAGAGCTTATGGGAGTATGCAGGTAACAGTTCACATGTTGGTCCCAGTGACTCACCCTTTCTGTGCATGTGTTGTGTTCCCACCCTCATCCCGCCCTGCCAGCAACCAAATCAATTTTCTCTCCTTGCCCCTCCATCACTTCCCATCCTCTCTGGCTCAGGCCTCCCACTACCTCTGTCCTCCCGTTTTTCTCCACTCCCCTGTGATATCAGTGTTTCTGGTACAAGGGCCAGAGGGATTAGGAGGTGTTTATGGGGCTGGGGTCCTCTCCACCTACTTCCCATGACAGGAGGGGTTCATCATTTGCTAAAGTTTGCATATTCTTTTTTTTTCTACTTTTTTTCTTAGAGTTCTGTGAAGATAAATCAGATCAGCCTTGATGAAAGTGGAGAACACATGGGCGTGTGTTCGGAGGATGGCAAGGTATGGTTCTTACATTATTGTATGTACAATTGCATTCTCACACTGAGTTCTTTGACTTTACCCAAATCATGTGGTGAGAAAAGTGCTGTGCTTACCACATGCTTGCCTGAAGAGAGCCTTGATTATTCTTGTGTGTTGGACTTGCCTCCAATTGCTCATAATTAAAGTAAAATATATTTTGAGCAAATATGCCTTAGGAAAAGTAATTACAAGGATGTCAATATTGTAACTAGTATTAAACTGATTAACAGGCTGTGGCAGGGGCACTTGGCACCTTAATCATTACTGCTGTGCCACTTACACTTTAGTGACTAGTCTGTGTTTCCTGCAAGACAGTACTTTAATGTCTTCTACCATAAATCCACAAAATTGGATTTTGTGGGCATGATTTCAATGGGCTGGTGGCTTTCATTTCCACACACAAGTTATGAATGTTTCTCTTGAATAATAGAATCTTTTGATAAGCGATCATAGTTTTTCAGAAGAATAAAGTGTCTTACGATGGTCACATTAAATAAATGTAAAATATATGTACAGTTTTCAAAAAACCCAGTCCCTGCTTCATCAACTGAGGGCATACATCATGGGTGTAGTGTATAACTAACAATTATCACTGCTGCTTGCTGATGTTTCTCAGTGGCAATTAGTGATAGTTATGATTGATTTTCCACTTATATGAATGTCTTTTTTGTTTTTAAGTTGATAGAAATCTTTTCTCATGTTAGCTTGCAATGATGAAATTCTAAGCTCCTTCTCCCAAACAATAGTTTAAGAACGGAGTGCTTTAGGAATCATTATAGAATATTGCATAGCCTTTACAGAATAGCTTTCTTAATCTAATTTTGTGATTTTTACATCATCTCAATTCGATTGATTATTAAGATGAGTAAATTAAAACAGTATACTCAGTGTAAAAGATATATACCCATTTAATGTGTTAGCAAAAGAAAAAGGAAGCCTTCTTGACATATAAAAACACATTTTATCTTATTTAATAGTTATATTGCACAGAGTGTTTTTTGAAGCAATAATTGGCAGACTAGTGCTTTTCAAAAAGCCTTGTCAAATTTTATAGTACTTTCTGAAATTCTGAGAAGAAATGATTGTCAAAGAGAGATGAAGGAAAATTCAAATGCAAACCTTTGGAACATTTTTGTGTTCATATATTTGTAAAGAAAGATAATTTGCACTTTGTTTGCCTAAAGATGGGAAGTTCCAGATGGATGCCAAGTTAAGCTCACTTAGTGAATGAAAAGATCAGAGATTAAAGTAGCCTTCCAGGAGAAAGGTGTTCCTTGATAAAAGGCGAGTAGAGAGAGCTCTCAGATCCTTTTCTGTGATTCCTTGGGTTTCCAACGCTGTGTGCATGGAGATGCCACTTAGTTTTAAAGCCAGAGACTGAAGATACCCTTCCTTGAAAGATGAGATTAAGGTAGCCAATCTGACGCCCTTCTGTGAGAAAGGTGTTACCTGATCAAGGAGAACAAGAGAGTGCTCTCAGATCCCGTCTTGTGTGACTCCATGGGTTCCCGATGCTGAGTGTGTGGAGATGCCATGTGGCCAGATCAGTTCTTTGAGAAGGATATCATGCTTGGAAGAGTGGATGGACAACAGCTCAGGAGAGGGAGACCCCAGATTAGATAGATTAATACAGTGACTGGGGCGATAGGGGTTGGTGTATCAGTTAGTGAAACTGGCTCAGGACAGGGAAGGGTTCAAGAGCTGCTGTACATAGGGTCGCTATACATCGCAGGTGACTCAACGGCACATAAAAACAGTAGCATACTATGAAAGGTTTGGAACCAGGAGTGGCATCCACTTCCTAAATAACATGCCTCTCGAAACTCTTTGAATTTTGATAAATGTTGAAAATTGTAGAGGGGCTTTAAGCCTTTTGTTCATAGGGTCACTATGAGTTGTTCTTGACTCGAAGGCAATCTACAACAACAACATTGAATGAAGAAACTGTATATACGTGTGTTTGTGTGTGTGTATGTGTGTGTTTGTATACTCATATATACATACAAATGAATTTGAAAAGAATTTATACTAAGATTTTTCAACTAGAAATTCTTTAATAACTTTAAGTATTGAAAATTATTTAATAGGGCAAAATGCAGTGCAGTATATGGGAAATAATGAGGTGGTCCTCAGATATCTCATGGTATACTCCTTAGTCGCATTTTTATCTTTTCAAATTTTGCTGTAGACCAATGATATGTTCTGAAAAATAGGTTTGGCATGTTTTTTAGCACCGATAGCATTGAAAGGAAATTTTCAGTACACATTTGTGGAAGTGATTCCATTAACATGTGTTAGGACTTAAATAAGTTAAAACTTAAATAGCTAGTATAGAGTGATCTAATAAAAGTCATTAGTGCCAATTAAATAATAAAGATTATTGAGACAATAAACTCTGGATGTCTAGATCTTATGTATCTTCAAATGACTGTTATGATTTTTCTTTGATGTATTGAGGATCCTAGATAGATAAATTGTCTTTCATTCTATCAATCTTTATAGTATTAACTTTTTAATTATAATCTTTAATATTTGCATCTACTCTAGAAGTTGTGATTTTGACAGTTCCTTACATTTTCTTTTTGTTCTGCTAATGCTCAATATTATTTTATATCTTGCTGCTGTTTGCTTGTGTTATAAATCTAGAAATGGAATCACAGCATAGGTATATTTTAGAACCATGATTTGTATAGAAGATAGGAACCCTACTGGTTCAATGGTAGTGCTCTCAGGTGCAAAGTGACAACTCACTGCTTCAAACCCACCACCATTTCATAAGAGAAGTGACCTTCTGCTTCCATTAGATTTACAGCCTTGGAAACCCCAATTGTAGTCCTACTTATCCTGTGGGATCACACTGAGATGGGAGTCTACTGGACAGTAATGAATTTGGAAATTCAAGTTACTTTTTCAAGATAGTAGAAGATATATAACTTATACGTACTTATCCTGAAAGTTACCAGACATATTTTCAGATATTTTTTCCCCACAAGTACTAATAGGTACATATTTGCATATGAATTGGAATATAATTTAGTACAAAATCCCAATATTGAGATATTTTCTCTCACTCTTTCCTGACATTTTTATATAGATACATAACATTGGTCTAGATTTACTGTTATTATTATTATTTATTTTTTTTTAGTTAGAGGATTAAAAATACCTGTAAAATAAACATTTCAGCTCTGGTGGCATAGTCTAAAGGGTGTTAGTAAGAAAGCTTTATCTCTGGCCGTTGGAATCCACCAGCATCTCCACAGGAGAATGGTCTATTCCTGTTGTTTTGTTCTCTTTGGGTTTTCTTTCCCCTCCTTCTACACCACCATCCCCAGTTAAGCATATTGTCCAGCCCTCTGATGCATAGCAATTTATTGCGAAGACTATGGCCGGAATCAGGCATATCTTAATCTCCAGACTGACATTATTGTTCTTCAGCACTCTGAAGAGGTCCCTGACAACAGCTTTCCCCAGAGCAGTTGTCTTTTGATTTCTTGACTGCTGGTGCGGAGACTATTGATTGTGGAGTCAAGCAAGCTGAAATTGTTGACCACCTCAGACTCTTCTCCATATCTTTTCCATCTTTCATGCCAGTTGGCCCAGTGGTGAGAATCTTTCTCCACTTTATGTTGGGCTTCAGTCCATATTGAAGACTACAGTCCTTGACCTTCTGCAGAAATTGCTTCAGGTCCTCCTTGTTTTCTACGAGCCAGGTTGTATCAACTGCATACATTGCTGATGAATCTTCCTCCAGTCCATATGCCACATTCCTCATTTACTCTGTTGTTGTTATGTGCCGTTGAGTGGCCTGTGACTCATAGCGACCCTATGTACAACAGCCCTAAACCCTGCTCTACCCTGTGCCAGTCTCTCTGTCTCTGACACACCTACCCACATTACCCCAGTCACTGAATCAATCCACCTCATAGAAGGTCTTCATCTCCTGTACTGTCTCTCTACCCTCCCAAGCATGACATCCCTCTCCCAGGACTGGTCCCGCCTTAAAATATGTGCAAAATATGTCAGACGAAGCTTCAGAATCCTTGCCTCCAAGGAGCAGCCTGGTTTCACCCTCTCCAGGACCAACCTGTTTGTTCTCTTAGCAGTCCATGGTATATTTAATATTCTTCTCCAACACCACAGCTCAAAGGCATCAGTTTTCTATCATCCCTAGTCATTGTCTACCTCTCTGATGCATAGCGAGTGATTACAAAGACCATGGCCTGTATCAGGCACACCATAGTCTCCAGACTGACATCGTTGCTCGTCAGTACTTTGGAGAGGTCTCTAACAACAGACTTTCCCATTGCAATATATCTTTTAATTTCCTTGCTGCTGGTGACAAGAGTACTGATTGTAGAGCCAAGCAAACTGAAGCTGTTAACAATCTCAGTGTCTTCACCATTTACCATGATGCTGCCAGTTGACCCAGTGCTAAGAATCTTTGTTTTCTTGATGCTGAGCTCCAATACATATTAAAGGCTGCAGTCGACCTTCTGCAGAAAGCACTTCAGGTCCTCCTCAGTTTTAGCAAGCAGGGTTGTGTCATCTGTGTAACGCAGATTGTTGATGAGTCTTCCTCCAATCCTGATTTCTCCTCATAGAGCCCAGCCACCTGGATATCTGTTCTGCATATAGATTGAAAAGGTATGGAGGTAGGACACATCCCTGGCATATACTCTTCTTAATTTTGAACCGTGCAGTGTCTTTTTACTGTGTTCTGACAATTGGCTGCTGGTCAAATTGCAGGTTTTGCGTTAGCACAATTAAATGTTCTGGGATTTTCATTCTTCTCAGAGTTAGCCACAGTTTGTTGTGATCCACACCGTCAAACACTTTTGCATAATCAATGAAACACTGATAGACATTCCTCTGGTATTCCCTACTTTCAGCCAAGATCCATCTAACATTAGCTACAATATTTCTAGTACTACCACCCCTTCCAAACCCAACCTGCACTTGTAGCAGTTCTCTGTTGA